ACCAGCAAAAGATAGAGATATGACATGCCAAATAAAGCCCAAAAACTCACTGAAACATGGTCAATGCATGCAAGAATGACATGCTCCTTTGATAAGCTATGAAAAGGATTGTTCTACACATGCAAGGTGGACATCCAATATGACAAAATCAGCTTTGGACAAAGCTTATGCAGGTCCTAAAAAACACCAAAAAAGGCCTGAAACAGGGCTTGGAGGCATGCACGTATAGGCTCCTTTGTTAGGCCAAATATGCTAGAAAACAAGACAAGGAGAGAGTAGGTCACCCCTGTCTGATTTTGGCTCTCAAAATAGCATATTAACCACTGAAAATCCACTAGATTTCATTGGTCAAAAGGCCAAACAAAGATCAATACAAGGCCTTCATGCATGGCTCAGAACAAGGCAAAATGAAGCATGCAAGGGGGTAGATGACCCCCAACAACAAAGTGACCTTAAACAAACATGAAAAGGACCTCAAAAAAAGACTTTTTTCATTTTACACCAAAGCTCAAATATGCTTGCAAGTATGGCTAAAAGATGGAGCAAAATAAAGCTTAAAAGAGGGAATAGTGTGTTACCCTTGTAGCTTCAGCAAAACCAGCAGCTTCTTGGACCAAAAACCAGCTCTTTGAGACCTCTTAAGACCCTCCAAGAACCTTAGATCAATGGTGGAGGTGTGTGGCTATGAGGTGTGGTGTTAAAGGCCAAGAACAAACACCCTTTCTAAGCATAGAATGTATATATATAGAGAGATATATGTGCTTTTCCTCAGACAAATTTTTTTTTCAACCTCTGTAGAGGAGAGGGAGGCCCTCTCTTATAGAGAAACAAGAGGGTTCAAGCTTCTTGGAGAAGCTAGAGCAAAGGTTCAAGCTTTTTGGAGAAACTAGAGCAAAAGGTTCAAGAGGTTTAAACTTCCTCAAGAAGCTAAAACAAGGGTTCAAAAAGTTCAAGCTTCCTCAATAAGCTAAAACAAGGGTTCAAAGGTTCAAGCTTCCTCAAGAAGCTAAAACGAAGGTCCAAAAGGTTCAAGCTTCCTTAAGAAGCTAAAACGATGGTTCAAAAGGTTCAAGCTTCCTCAAGAAGCTAAATGAAGGTTCAAAATGTTCAAGCTTCCTCAAGAAGCTAAAACAAGGGTTCAAAAGGCTCAAGCTTCCTCAAGAAGCTAAAACGAAGGTTCAAAATGTTCAAGCTCTCCAAAAACCATGCCAAATGGAGAAAGTTAAGCGGTCCGGAACCGAGGCGCACGGCCGACGACTCCGAAAACTGAAAATTGGTCTCCAAATGAGAACAGTGGTCTATGACCACGAAAGGTAGCCTACGGCCACTAAGAGATGGTCTACGAGACCTCTCCCTCCCTTTGCGAAGAGAAAACAGAACCTGGTTCTCAAACCGAGGCAAAGCACAAAAAAGTCCCAAGGTCCGGAGGCAAAGCTCTCAGCCGAGACTCTGTAACCTTAGAACGAGCACAACATGTGTCATCACCGAGCGCTCAATCGATGACGTCCGAGTCTTAAGGTCGTTCAAAAATGGGGTATTTACAGTTGCCCCTCTTTGACAAAACTCGAAAGTCATAAGTGACGGGAGTGAATGTCAAAGCCTAGAGACGACCCATTTTTGACGAGGCCGAAAACTTAGACAAACAGGCGAGATAAACAAGAGATGTGCCCGCAGGCAGGGGCAAAATGCAAGAGACATGCACAAAGCCGGCCATAACTTATGTTCATGCAAAGAAAGCTGTAACGAAGGAAATATACACAATAAATGCAACAGTTTAAGTAGGAATGCAAAATGTTATGGAAGAAGATTTTGGTAATTGGACTTATACGCTACGCAAAGCCGGTTTGGAAATTTGACTTTATACGTTACGAGAAGCCGGTTTGATATTTGGACTTATACGCTACGCAAAGTCGGTTTGACAATTCAGGATTTATGCAATGCAATGCAATGTAATAGCTAGGAAGTGAAGGTACCTTACAAGGGCAATTGGCAGTGACCTACCTCATGTTGCTGGGGACCTTCACCTTCTTCTCGGTTGAACCGCAGGTACTACTTTTCTCCCTGACTATGGTCACAGCTTTCCCTATTCTCCAACAGGGTGATAGACTAGGTTGGTTCAATATCCAGAATTGAGGCGCATACACATGCTATCTCAATCTATGGGGCTGTCATACAGATTTCAAGCCGAGGATATACCCCTGGGTATTTAAACCAGACTTTAGTCTCGAAAATCCTGAACCTTTGCATTCTAGGCATAAGCCATTTGAACTCTAGTTTCCACTGTCTCAGTTAGGAACTCACCGCAAACACAGGCAGGTGGCTATACCAGACCACCGGAAGTCGTTCGGACATGACAAACACCAAAGGAATTGCACCTTTACAGGATTTAAGGTCTCCTAGACCAGAGAGTGCACAAGACAGTGCGAACAATGCAATGCAGGATTTAAGGTCTCCTAGACTAGAGGATTTAAGGTCTCCCAGGCCAGAGAGTGCACAAGACAGTGCGATGCCATGCACTAACAAGTGCTAGTGAGGTGCACAAGAAAGCACGAACAATGCAATGCACTAACAAGTGCAGGTAAGATGCACAAGAAAGTGCGAACAATGCAATGCACTAACCGGTGCAGGTAAGATGCGCAAGAAAGCGCGAACAAAATGCAATGCACTAACAAGTGCAGGTAAGGTGCACAAGAAAGCGCGAACAAAATGCAATGCACTACCAAGTGCAGGTAAGGTGCGCAAGAAAGCGCGAACAATGCAATGCACCAACAAGTGCAGGTAAGATGCGCAAGAAAGCGCGAACAAAATGCAATGCACTAACAAGTACAGGTAAGGTGCGCAAGAAAGCGCGAACAAAATGCAATGCACTAACAAGTGCAGGTAAGATGCGCAAGAAAGCGCGAACAATGCAATGCACTAACAAGTGCAGGTAAGATGCGCAAGAAAGCGCGAACAAAATGCAATGCACTAACAAGTGCAGGTAAGGTGCGCAAGATAACACGATGAAATGCATGCATAATGCAAGTAAGGGGCACAAAATAGTGCGATGCAAAAAATAGCGCGATAAAATGCATGCACAACGCAAGTAAGGTGCACAAAATAGTACGATGCGTAAAATAGCGCAATAAAATGCATGCACAATACAGGTAATGGTCACAGCGCAAAATAGCGCGATGCGCAAAATAGCGCGAGTGCACAAGACAGTGCGATGCGCAAGAAAGCGCGAGTGTAAGCTGCATAAAATAGTGCGATGCGCAAGAGAGAGGGAGTGTAAATTGCACAAAATAGTGCGATGCGCAAGACAGCGCGAGTGTAAACTGCACAAAACAGTGCGTTGCGCAAGACAGCGCGCGTGTAAACTACACAAAACAGTGCGATGCGTAAGAGAGCAAGAGTGTAAACTACACAAAACAGTACGATGCGCAAGAAAGCGCGAGTGTAAACTGCACAAAATAGTGTGATGCGCAAGAGAGCACAAGTGATAAGAAATGTGAAAGTGCACAAGACAGTGCGAGGGGAGATGAGGATTTACAGTCTCCTAGACCAAAGTGAGTGGACAAGACTGTGCGAGTGATACAGAAATACAATGTGCACAAGACAGTGTGAGTGAGATAAGATGCACGGGAAAGTGCAATAAAATGCATGTTCTATGCAAGTGAGGAAGAATGCATTTTCTACGCAAGAGATATGAGCATTTTATATGCAAGTGTGGAAGAGTGTATTTTCTATGCAACATGGAAAGCATATTCTATGCAATATGGAAAGCATGTTCTATATATGAGACCGTCATATTGTATGCAATATTGAAAGCATATTCTATGCATGAGACAGGCATATTCTATGCAGCATTGAAAGCATAGGCTAGGCATGATTGGAAGCAAAGCATATTCTATGCGGAATCGAAAGCAAGCATATTCTATGCATGAATCAAAACGATGCGCGGCACGCATGCAACAGAAGTGTATATGAAAGTGCACATTCTATGCAATAGAGGAGCATCAAACATGTACTCTGCTGCCTCCGATTTACCTCTCGGAGGACTTGGCAACACGTTCAGCTCAAAAGGGGACACCCTGTCTACATGGGCGAGAGATAACATCTGCATGTGAAAACCATAGGTGCTGCTTGGACTGCCATTCTGACTTGAAGCAAGCTTAAGTTTGGGGTCGAGATGTACTCATGCTCCAGAGAAACGGAGAGGCCTGAGAAGGTGCACCTGGAATGCAGTCTCGGAATTGTCGAAGTTGAAACATGCTAAGATGCTCCAAATTTTCCCTCTTTTCTTTTACTTTGCAGCCCGGAACCTATATAGCTTCAGATAGGTCCTTGTTCTACTGTTCTCTCATGACCTGGGTTGGACCCTTGCGGTTTATGAAAGAAAGAATCTTGTTTTGCACAAATGTGGAGAATGCCACAGCACTTTGAGCACAAAGCGATTTATTTTGAAATTGAAATGAGAAAAGGGTTCTCAACCAGGTATTGAGCCTACAACTGACCACAGCCAAAACGACTCAATAATAGAAAACAAAGATAGAACAACCTAAACACAACTCAACAAAGGAAAAACAAGGTAAAACAACCTAAACACATCTATTGACACTCAAAATGACCAAAATAAGAATCGAGAGCTGGTAGGCCACATCAGTGGCCGGCCACAAAAATCTGTTTTTAGGCCTAACTTCAAATAGGCATAACTCCTTCATCCGGACTCGGTTTTAAGTCATTCTTGAGTCTAAATTGAAGCCCCAGAAGTCTAATTTCCAATAGTAGTGGCCTCACATATAAATTTTAAGTGTGAAAAGAGATATTCCTATTTTATTAATGGTTGCTCATTTCTATCTTAACCGGATGGATGCCTAACTTCAAATGGCCATATCTCCCTCATCCGGATCGGCTTTAGAAGATTCTTGAGACTAAATTGAAGCTCCAGAAGTTCAATTTCCAATTTTGGTGGCCTAACAACTAAAGTCTAAGTGTGCCCAGCTGCATCCACCAATAAGTTATCCTTGACCTGATTTTAGGATAGAGTTTGGGAGGGACCACTTCACCATAAACCAAGCATTTGTCACCTCCTCTTTGAAGCTCGAGATGGACAAGATCCTATTTCTCACAAGGCTTCTAATTTTAGCTTGCATAGCCACCTCAGTGGATTTTGAGCCTTTGAAAATCCTGCAATTTCTCTCAGTCCAAATACAGTAAACAGAGCAAGTAAACACAAGTTTAGAAATAGTGGCAGCCAAATATTTGCCCTTGATAGTCCTGGTTAACCAATCCACCAAATCAATCCAGTCAAGATAAGGAACAATCAAATTGCACATATCCTGCATAACATTCCAGACTCTGTAAGAGAATGGGCATTTAAAGAACAAGTGATTACGGTCCTCAGGTCCAACCCCACAGAGACAACAAATAGAAGGGTTGCTAGTACCAAAGACAACAAGCCTATCAAGAGTGTTCAGTCTATTATGGATAGCAAACCAAACCACAGTACTAATTCTAGGAATATGAAACTTGAACCACAGGATCTTAGCCCAAACAACTCTAGAACCATGGGTCCTCCACTCGTCCCAAGCAGACTTAATGGAGAATTGCCCATCAGAAGATGGTAGCCACACCACCTTATCATTCACTAAAGAAGGCTTCATATCTGCCGGGACAGCAGCCTTAATCTCATTCAACTCCCAAGTACGACACACAGGCCATTTCCACCTAGAGCCATAGA